CTATCTTTACAATAAAGTGCATGACAAATACTGCCCTGAAAAGCATTACTTTACATAAAAACAGAGTTACCTTCTTTTAGAAAGAGTTTTTAAAATTATACAATAATTTGTGGCACTATGTTCTATAAGAACACTGTAAGCTAATATCTTACAAGGAAAACTTCAATGGACTTCAAGCATTTAGGTGTCCCTTTTCTGACTCTATTTCCCTTCCTTTTCTGGGATATTGTTTTAACTGCTCAGCCACAGTATGCCTATTTATATATCTTCATGTTACTCCTGTGAACAGCAGTGAGCATATTAGCACAGTCCAACTAATTAAAAGATAATTTAAATAAAAATGCCGGAAGGTATTCACTTCAGACATGGGTGTTAAACCTCTTTTACTGTGAGGGCCAAATTTAATTTCAGCTTTGAAAGGATACATTCCAGTGGTGGGTGGGCCTGAATGTAAAAGGCGAAAAATACCCCCCCCCCCAAAAACCCAAAACAAAACAAAACAAAACACACTCTCAGATTTGTTAAAGCTTTCACTACCAGCAATTAGGTTTGATAGAGGCTTTTCAACCTTTTTAGAATGGCGAAACAGCACAAAAACTGCAAACCCAGCAGCAAATGGTTGGTGGTCAAAAGGAAGGAGGTGGTGTAGTAGTTACCTGAAGAACTCCAGAGGGCCAGATTAGAACTTTGCTCCATGGCCTGCAGTTCCCCATCTCAATAAGCCATACAGATACATTATGTAGCATCCACCAAACAAGTGCAACGTTTTCTCAACATTATATCAACTTTTCAACAGGCCAGTTTCTCAGGATTACCACACAGCCCAGGATTAAATCACAGCCCTCAGGGGTCATATTCCACTTAAGAGTCAGCAGCAATGTCCTCTTATTTCTTTGTACTGTTTTAAACAGTACAAACACTGGGCTGATTTATTTCCATTTTATAACCACTAGAACAAGCCTACAATCACCTAGGTAATAAACCTATGCCTGTATTCAGATGCTAGGTTTCCATCTGTCAATTTTGTTTGTTTACTTAATTTTTATTTTCGGAAAGGAAGAGCATTCCATCCTGTAAGCCCACATTTGCAGTAATAAACTGGCGCCTGGGTGCAACCTAACCTTGTACAATACTTCCAGTAAGCAAATGCAGGACACAAGGAATTAATTACGTTCATTCTCTCTCTGGTTAATACTTAACCTTTGGTTCCCTGGCTGTCCATTCTTGTAGTAATGGTGTAGTTCAGCCTATATTTAAGTGGATATGATGGGTAAGCATTCAGGCATCCTGTTTTTCATTGGATCAGATCATCATGACTGCTTACTCCTCAGTTTTGAATAACTCCTGTGCAATCTGCTGATGTGGACATTAGCCTAGGCTCTTTCGACAGCATCCACTACTGACTGCATGGAAAGCACAGCAACCGTCCTGACTGTTTAATCACACACCAAGCCAACTCAGCAGATGTTAAGGCTCAACTCAAGTGAAGTCTATGAATAACAACAAAGCAAACACAAATAAATGTGTACAAAATAAAATTCAGTATAAGATAAACAGACCACAAATGCAAACGTCCTTTAATAGACATACAAATTGCTGACATCCATTTTCATCCATGGGTAGGAACAGGATCCAGAAGCACCAGAAATGTGGAAAGAGAAAACTTTATATGCTAAAGGAAGCCTAACACAAAGGTAAACTCTATGAGGGAAGTAACACAGGCTTGGCAAATGGAATGCAACTCCATAATAATTACTTACTGAATAAAAATCAAGAGAGTCACATGGATTATTGGTTAGAGTCTTATACTGGGGATTCAGAAAACCCAGTATGTAGCCTGCACTCAGCCATGAAGCTCACTGAGTGACCATGCGCCAGTCACCAACTCTCAGTCTAATCTACCTCTTTGAAGGCAAAATGAAGAGCAGGATCATGCAAGCCATCTTAGTTTTCTTACAAGGAGAACAATGATGGTAAATCAGTGCAATAATTTATTATTATTTAATGTTATTTATTAACATGTGATAGTAAAAATACTAAAGATTAAAGAAAGCTACAAGGAACCTTCCAAGATAATAGTCTCTTTCATTGTTCTTTGTTCACTTCACCATACACTAGGCATCTACCACACTGTGGCTGACTACAATAAAGACAGAACATGCCCCAAACAGCTCCAAAGATCAGCGTGTTGACAATATCCCTGCTACTGATAGGAGGAGGAAGGCAGAGATCTGACCTCCCTAACCTTGTAACCTCCAAATGTGCTGGTCCATTGAGGCTGAGAGAGAAGCCATTAGCACATAGTTTGCCATAATAGAGGGGGAAATGTATAGTTTCCAAACTACTTACATTTATAAACCCTCAGAGATCTAATGTAAATTATACAGAAATCTACCAGTAGATCTTCTGTCCACTCCTGATCTATGACAAAGTGTCTCAATAAGATATCAACTACTAATGCATATTTTTCAAATCAATTTAACACCAAACCAAAGTTTGTATACTTTTTATTTCCAGAAAACACCTGTGTGACATTAACATTGACAACAGATACACAATCATACTTTGTTATAAAAGATTCAGAATCTATTCAGAGAGAAACTCACTTATCTTGCTGGTTAACCTGTAGTGCAATTGCCATCTTACTGCATCTTGCAGATGCCTTAAATTTCATCACTGCCATGTTTTAAAGAGATTCTTCTGGTCATTTAGTCCTGTTACAAAAACAAATCAAGGCTAACACTGGGTGAATAAATAAAACTAAACTGAACTAAACTAAACCAGGTACAGTCAAATTCCAGCAAATGTTAAAAAAAGCTGCTAGGGATCAAATATTACTCATCAATAGTTCAACACTGTAACATAAAAGAAATGTTTTCCTAGTCACCAGGAGCACGATGAATCATAAAAATGCAATAAATAACTCTGAAGCTAAGGCAGTCACAGCAAATCAGAAGTAGATGAAAAATTTTACCTTTTCCATTTATATCTCTCCCATGATAGTTTAAATTCCTCACCTATAAACTTGGCTGATCTCATGGAAGAAGGGAGAGGGACAACTATAATTAACTTGACAAGTTGGGGGCAAGTCCATTCCAAAAGTGAAGGGTTATCAAATTTGGGGGAAACAACCTTCAAAAGCACCAAGTAGTGCAAGGAAATGTTTGGTAAACAATACACCAAAAGGTGACTACTCCCTTCCTGTACAGCAAGCTTGGCAATTGGTCAGATATGATAATCCCTGCAATCCCTGTTCACACTCTAGGAACCAGTCTTGATGAAGCAGAGCACCCACAACACAAACCTGCATGATTTAACTGACTGCCAGAAAAATTCAGAAAAGTTCAATTCATATAATCCCTCTACTCAAGCCAGCCAACAAGCAACAATTATCAACTGTTCATAATCTATTGAGACAAGACAAAGGTGCGTTGGGTCAGTCAAAAGGCAGATCAAGAAACGGATTCAAATGTACCAAGTGGGATTATATTCCCTGAAGTCTTGGACTCACAGCTGGACTTGGCCATGAAGCTGGATGACCCAGTCTTGGGGGTAGCCAGCAGTGCATTTGTGCGGCTGCGGCTCATATGCCAACTGCACCTATTCTTAAAGATGCCTGATCTGGCCATGGTCGTGAAAACAGACCAAATAGTCACATCCCATTTGGACTCCTGTAAGATGCCCAGCACTGGGCTGCCTTTTATAACTGTTCAAAAACTTCCACTGGTCCAAAATGCTGTGGGCAGACTCTTTACTGGTTCCAGAAAGCATGTGATTCCCCTTTTACAGCAGCAATGCAAGCTAATGGTTGCTTCTAGGCAGAATTCAAAGAACTATACAGAGCTTGGGACCAGGCTACTTGAAAGACCACTTTCTTCCAACTAAGTATCCCCAGTAGTTAAGATCTTCTGGAATGGGCCTTCTCTTGAGACCTTCAGAGGCACATTTAATGGCAACCTGAAAGAGGGTCTTTGCAGTGCCTGCCCCCAGACTGTGGAACTCTGTCCTAACAGCTAGGTTTGCTCTGTCTTTGATGTCCTTCTGCTGGCGAATAAAGACAGATTTATTCAAGAAGACTTTGTATTCAGATATGCTCTCCAACAAACTCTCCAAGATACAGATTTATTTAACTAGAAATCATGTGGCACTAGAATCACACACGGGTGGACTCCATTCAACTATAGCATGTGACTTTGTGTTACACCAGAGCTTATTTAGGCATGGCATAGCAAACAGGGTGAATATATATGCAACCAATGCATGCTAAATTTGTTGGCTTACTTAACATTTATGCCACAGTAAAATTATTTTGTACTTTCAGTGTTGAGTATCTTGCATATATCAAATGGTAACAAAGACAATTAAATTCTTTTCAATTCCAGGTTGCAACCCAACAAAATGTGAAATAGTTAAAGGTGGAAGGGGGAATACTTCTAAAAGCATTGTAAAGATAGATTTCCATTAGACCTATTGAGAAGATTAATTCTCTCTTTCTGAGGCTTCACAGATGGATTAGAGAGTCTCTAATTTGTATTTTTTAAGGTGTCAGTTCACCCCCATTAGGTCCAGAGTCAATCAACTCCCCTTCTTCTTCTTCAGGACAGTAAAGACTATGAAACAATGCCATGGCCTTTCCTTCCAAGGAATGGTCTTGCTAGTTCCAATTTAGAAAAGATACTGGATGATCTCCAGGTACTTGGAGAGGTTTTTAAGGGTGTGGAGTTCTAAAATACCTCTTTTAGAACTCTAGGGTATACCTTCTCTCTTGAATGTCGCCATACACCTGAAAAGTCCAACTAGCAATTCTGGAGGATGACTTGCCCCCTACAGAAATAGAACCAGATATTATCCCTTGGCTGGGGAGAGCAAAGTCTCCTGCTGGCCTCCTAAACCTGAGACCAGAAACTAAGGAAGGTGTTCACGTATTGCAAATTGCAAGCATTCTACAGTCAGATATTCCATCTAGTAAATTTAATAGCACAGTCATACTTTCTAATTACCTCATTATCATTCCATGCAATTCAAGAGGTTGGGAAGAACATGATTATTAGGTTTCTCTCCAGTTTGCCTCATCATTGCCATGTATACTTTCAACCCAGCAGAATCTGTTTGAATAAGAAATCAGAAATTCATCTATTTCACAAAGCTGGAATAAATTGTTATTCAATAGTTCAGGAAAACAGTGATACGTTATTTGAAGACAGTACCCAGAAGTCTAGCATATCTAACTAGGGGATACTAGAAACTGTAGGATTTTTTCTGTCTGAAATCCACAGGACTGCACCCTGAAACTATAATCTACAAAGGGTGCTATGGACCTTGATTTTAACATCTTTGTTTGCAAGTTCTCCCTGCAGGCTGTTTTATCAATTTTAGAGCACAGCTTATGCTTGAGCAAGTAAACAGGTTGCACAAATGTGCCAACAAGTTCTAATTATAGAATTTTTAAAAAGATACAGTTATGGCCTGGAACTAAATCAGGGCAGTTCACAGTGTATGATCATCATCAAATAGTAAATTCAGTTATAGTAATATGTTTATATGTAGCCTAAGAAGCTTTCTTGTGTAATTTCTCTACAACATTGTTCTTCATCTTTCAAATATGTAATATTTGGATGACTAACACAAAAGCAGAGCAACAGACACAGCATTTCTAAAATGTTGAAACTATGCAAAAAATACCAGGATCAGATATTTTCTTGCATTTACTTAACAAACAGGACCAAATTTGGATTATACCTATTTTGCATTAGAAATTATGCATGTGTACATGTGTGTGATATAACAGGCATATTGAGATTAAATGTAGTCGAGAAATAATGCAATGATCCAAAGAAATACTGTACAGGATTTGGAGTGGGGGATATTTTTTGCTCAGAACAGCAGATCATGGTGCTATATAAGATACCATTCTTTATATATATTCTCACTAATTTCCTAAGGTGGCACGTGGACTGACTTTTAGAACCACAAATCCAAAACTACACGAGTACATAGAACTCCATCATGGTTGGCCTGGAAAACTGAGGGGAAGCAACCATGATGGAGTTTCAAAGCCTCTTGCCCTGCTTTAATCTTCCTACCCTGCACTGTTTCTTCTTCAAGCTCCTTTTGACAGTTGAACCATGCAAGGAATTGACTGGACAAAGAGCACACATTGCACAGTTGTACAGCCACTTACACTTGCAAAAGACCAAAAAATATGTTCAATTGGGCTTGTTTGAAGCTCCAAAAGAGTAAAAATCCAGAAAAGCAGAGATAATGATTGAAACAGAGGATTGGTGCAAGGATAAAGAGGAATTCTGGTGTGAGTCCCCTGGAGGGTGCCACAACTGGCAAGAGGCCTGAGGAGGAAGGAGTGGGAGAACGAAGCACAGCAAGCCTGGCTGTAGCATATTCTCCAGGGTGGTTTACCCTTAAGTGCAAACCCATCCACTGTGGCTAACTAAAAGCAGAAATAAAGGCTTCCTTACTCTCAGAGGCATCGGAAGAGGAGATGGGGAGCACACAGGCCCAGGAGGAAGCTGGTCTCATTCATGCAATCTAAACCATGACTTAGCATTACATCTGAACATAGTCTGTGTTCTTTTGCTATGGCATTCAAGCATAGCTATACGTTCCTTTGTAGCATGGGTCCTCAAACTATGGCCCATGGGATGGATCCGGCCCGCCATGCCCTTTCATCCGGCCCACGCCGCGCAGGCGGGAGGCGGTGGCTTGCTCGCTCAGAGATGGTTTTGGACTCATTGAGAGATCTCCGAGCGAGTGAGTTGCAGCCTCATGTGCATCCGATGATGCCTCACTGGCCAGTGCTCCCAGGCACCCCCCCCCTCAACAGCCCACGCGTGTAGCTACCACCTTTCAACTGGTCCCCTATTGAAAAAGTTTGAGGTCCCCTGCTTTGTAATATATCATTTTTCAAGGTATTTTAAAAACAATTATATACTCTCTTCATTGGCCATTAAAAGACTTCATAAATATATGTTAACAGCCGTCAACATATATATAGTGTGATCAAAAATATGAATGTAGTCAAAGAGAAAAATGCAATGTCACAGTCAAAAATTTATGGACATATGGCCCTGACATCTTTGAAAACCATACAAATACATATAACGCCTGTGTCAACAGAGAATGCCCACTGGCACCAATACCATTCATCATGAATATTTGAAGTGGTACAGCAGCAGGGCTTGAAAATGCCCAGGAAAAGATAGACAAAGTAAATTCCCAGATGCCACATCCCAGCATCATCACAAGGACAGAACTGGGTTTCCCCTAGCCAGGGATGCAGTCTAATAATGCATCCCATTAGTCTGGTGGCTTCCTCTGATCCGCCAATGAATGCAAATGGGTATCTTCTGCAGTAACACTCTGTCAATAGCATTATATAGTACCAAACCAGCATGATTTGAAAGCAATCAAAGAAAGAGCATCCTTTCAACAATAATGTGGTTGCAGACAGGTACCTACAGCTAGAATCTAACTTCTCTGAATGGTCTTGAGAGCCTGTCACTGAAGCCACGAACACTATTAGCTAATTGTTTCACAGGGTTTGACTTCAGATTATTATATATTTGAAAGTTATCTTCATTTTCTAAACCCATTTCTTGCTTTAGATATTCATTAATTTTATATACCTTCCACAAAATGAGAAAAACCTAAGATTGAAACAGTTTTCACTGTGGAAGTATCTTAACATACTGAAAATTACCAATTACAAGGAAAAGAAGTAATGAGCATATTCGCAAAAAAAGATAAATGTAGTTTACTGCATTCACGGTGAACACCATAGGCAGGCACTTTAGAGCCCCAAAATCAGTGCATTCTCTCAACAGGACAGATGTGAATATTTTAGATCTGAAATATTGGAAAAAATAATTTATGAGCATCTTAAATCACACTACACAAATTGGAAAATGCACAGGCAATTTAAAATGTCCATCCAACCATGGAAAGGTGAACCAAAATGTCTAAAACTTGTCATTAAGAGAAGCAGTTAATTTATTTAATGCTCCTACAGCAATCCATACACGACACTCAGTTTTTGACTGTCATGACAACAGAATCTTTCAAGCCTTTAATTCTGCTGCTATGAGCTTGCTCTTGAAAGAATTCCTGTTTTGACTGAATTTAGGAATTATCATTTCATTATAAAATTCCATCTTTTAGTTGCAGAATGTAGAAGAGTTTGGCAGGGTATACTGTACAAACAGACACACCTTCATAACCAAGTTTCATCTTCATAGGTTATATTCCAGTCTACTAACCTTTCCCAGGCTGTTAAAGTTTCTCTGGTTAGCCCAAGGCATAAAGCTAGTGCAGATACTGTCAGTTTCTCAAAAGCAGGGTTCTTGGAAGTAGTTTGCAGTTTGGGTTCAAAATTGGCTCTGTGCATGCTCAGAGACTCTTTCTTTGCTACTGGATGTACACTGGAGAATAAAGAGTTTTTGCTGAAGAACAGTCTGTTGTTTTGAAAAGGGAAGGGGAAATGTAGCTCCCAAGAGAAAGCTACTCTGGTCTGTGCTTGTTTGATGCTCTTACTCATCCTTCCTATTCCTTTTTGTTCCAGTCTATCTCACTCAAGAATCTTTCGCAGAAAATGAAGGTAGATCCAATGCCAGTGATAAATATGAAGAGCTCATCCTTTATGAAAATGTCAATTTGATTATCTTGCCTTTTAGAAGGATCACAGACAGCAACTCCATTCACTTACCTTATTGACTGATGCCAGATAAAACTTCTCAAAGCATGTTCTAGAAAGGTCATTACGATACAGGAAATATTTAAATGACCATCATTTTTCTTTAAAATGACAGTGTACATTAAGAAGACGAGTCTTTTGTAGAACAAACCTTTCAGGGAATTAGGAAGAAAACGTTGTTATGGGATGGCATACAAAAGTCATAAATGAATAGCATAAATAAAGTTGTATGTAATATGGATAAAGAGCAACATTTTAAAATCTTTCTTCTCACTTTCAGAACTGCACCTGTAAGCAAATAAAAATTCTGGCATTCAAAATGCATGTAAACCATGTGGGGAAGGTTTTGTATTACATTCTTCTTTGGCATTATATTATGTTCCTGGTTCAAGTGGGGAACATATGGCCATCCAGGTGAGGCTGAACTGCATCAGCCTCAGTCAACATAGCCAATGGTGAGAGAAGACTGGAAGTGTAGTCCCACAATATCTGAGGGACACACATTCCCCATCCTCAGCATAAAAACTCTTTTCATTGCAATGATTTATCTGCTTTCTAATCTTGACCTGAATCAATCCACCCCAGTTCCCCAGCAAATATAAAGATAGCTAGGATAAGCATTATGTAAAATATAACCTTCCAATATTATCAAGATTCGTATTCAATACATTTTTCACTTTAATCCACAAAGATTATCCTTATAAAAAGGAGTGGAAAACTGACCACATTGTATTACAATAATATTCTTCCTTACATACAGAAATGATGTACAGTGAGAAATACAGCCTGCCTTACCTTGTAAGAAGATAGGTGAGTTTCCATCAGTGTTTATAGACAGAAGAAAGGCTGAAAAGGGAAGGACAAGCACACACTCCTAGAAGAAACTTCTTTAATGGAGAAGTTCTGATGGTTGATTGAAAGTGCTTAATAATGAAATATCTGTCAAAGGATATAAATATGTAGTTTGTATTTCCTAAATGCCCCTTTTTAATCATTGGTGGTGATCCAGAATGCATCCTGGTAGAACTCACAGTACTGAAGAACGGGTAGGGAGAAAGTCAATCAGGATATACAGGTGGATCTCTGGGTGATTCAGACTACATTAGCAGCGATTCCCAACTCACAATGATTTAAGAGCAGTAGAAACAAATCACCTTTTCCCTACTAAATTAGGCTGCTAAAATCTAGAAAGCAGTTCTAGTACTGGAAACAAATTTCTGGGTTATGTCTAACATCTTGAGCCACTATTTCACATTTGACTCCAATTGGTAGACCTGGGTTCTGATGAAAAACAAAGCAGATCCTGCAAACCTAAAATCAGTCCACCCCTGTTGTTGATATTTGTAATGACAAACAGAAGTAAAATATAGAGCCACTATTTAATGTGAGCTTTTTCATGATCATGAAACTGACTAAACCTAGTTCTTTCTTGTCACTGCAAGTCTGCAAATTGAAGCTATTTAGGACATTATTTTGTCATTTTGATTCTGTTGCATTGATAACAAAATTCTATTGCACTGTATATTTTAAGAGAAACTTAATAGAAATGTTTGTATTTGCAAGGCATTAATTTTAAAGCAGGTGAATGGTCCAATAGCAAGTCCACCTTTATCCACTTGGAGAGGGGAAACACACACTACCAAAGTTCTACATTAGCAAAGCATATCTCAGATCTCAAGCACACATATAAAAGCAGCAAATAACCCAGCTTCCACCTTCAGACAGACTCAAGTCCAGAAACAGTCATCCAACTCCATCCATACTTTTCCATTAGAGTACCATTTTTCTGATCTACAAGCACTGTTGCATACATTACTGATTTGCTCCTGAGTCCTTTTCAGTCTTTGCAATTCTGGTGTGTCAGTTACAATGCTGAAACCTCTTCCTTTGCTTTCTTCAAAGTCTCGTTTGTATTTGACCTATCAAAAAAAAAATGAAGTTATATTATCTATGTCCTACCAGACAAGTAAACATGGCTTAGACAAGGAAACACTTTTAATCAATGTAACATATATTCTGCATCTACTTTTCACCTTGCAAAGCTGACTTGCATCTTGTATCACCATGAGGAAAGGTAAAATACCCAACCATGATTTCCTACCACTTGCATGAAACAAATTCAATTTATTTATCATTCTATTTATACCCTGACTTTTTTCCTCTTGCAAGGAACCCAAGGCAGCTTACATGGACTTTTCTTTTTCTTTTAATCTTCACAGCAACCACGAGGTGTAAACTATGCTGCTGAGTCTCAGCCTGATCACAGTTCTAACACTGCCCCAGTAAAGGCAGCTTAAGCCACTGATATTTGACTAGATATGCTAGGAAAGCACAGTATTTACATCCTGTAATTCTCCCTAAAATGGCAGATTGCATCTTGGATTAGTTTGACTCATTATCAGGTACCTACACCTCCCTTTCTCCTCTGCTGAAAGCCCTGCAAATAACAGTGATTTTTCAAATACATTATTTTAATGTGGCTGAAAAGTTCCACAATGAAATGCAGTTGGGCCTCCACATTCACAGAGGTTAGGGGTTTAGGACCCCTGCAAAAGTGTTAAAACCATGAATATCTCTAGCCACCGCCCCCAAACTTTAACTCTTAATACTGTTGACCAGGCATGTACTAGATTGCCCCCCCCCATGTGTGTGTGAGAGAGAGTGGGGGGGGGGAATACGTCTTAGATAACAACTGTGGTTCTTGCTATATAACCAGAAACAAAAAGTTAAAACTGTATTAAGAACAATAAAATGTCTTGAGGATTCTGAAATAAATCTGAACAAAAATCATTAGAAGAAAAGAGTGAAAGTGACAAGTAGCATAGAGCAACACAGAAAGAGCACCAAACGAACACCCTTTCAAGGCTGTATCTGATATACACTTTGATTGCTCCTTTTCGTAACAAAACTAAATGCGGCATGAAAATAATGCTATACTGGCTTCTTTAGTGCCCTGCCATCTCAATGGTATCGGGCATTGTCTGAGGGCCAGGAAAAACATTACTCCTGTCCTGGAATCCATGGAATCCACCCCCAATGTCTGAAGGCAAGGCATGCAAGGAGCTCATGCCTTGTTTGGAAGCAGAATCACACTACCAGGAAGCTGCTGGTACACTTATGCCTCTATACAAGGTCCATGATCCCCAAATGCAGCTACAAGAGGAGGCAGTGGGAGCCGCACAAAAGGCACACATGGCCCATTGGTTATGTATTTCCTGCTCTTTTCCAGGCATTCCAGAAGGAACCCTTTGCAGCTCTGTGTGGATAAATGCCAAAGGCTGGTCCTGATATGTTTTGAAGCCAAAGCATGTATTCTACCACTGAGCTACAGGCTCTTTTTAAAGGAATGTTAGTCCTCAGTCTTTTCTCCAACCCCTCAGCATTCATCATCTTGAAGTGCAGAGGCATCCATTTGTTTTGTCCTAAAGCTCACCACTAAGCAAATTGTTTTAGCAGTCTTTAAAATTGTACACAAAATTAACTTCTAAGTACAATTACGGAATACATGCTGCCACTCAAATTAAAAAAAAAAATCCTTTCCCAAAATTTTGCAGCCCTTTTGTCTCTCTACTTTCTGGTGGTAGAGATTTAAGACTATAGATGTACCAAGCACTAAGTAAACTGATTTAAAAATCTAGAGCTGTCACAATAATTACAGAGGATAGAATGATGGGATAACACCAACTGGTAAAGAACTGGGTGGTTACATATCATGTAGTTAACTGGGCAGTTATCCCTGTAAATACTTCCATGACCATCTGCAAGGGTTTGGTTTTTAAAAAGAAGAAGCTGTAAGGAACTTAACATTTACCAGTAAAACAGTGTGGACTCAAAGTCTTTAAATACAGAAACAGCAGAGCAGAATAAAAGTCAGTGACAGGATGGCATTTTGCTATGTTTGGGAAACAATCATGACCATAAATAAAAGGAAGGATGGTAATAGGTTGGTACAATTCAAGCTCCACTGGAATAGCATGCACGAAATTGTAATATCTGCAAAGGCCTGGATAAGAACGCTGAAGATACAGAATAAGATCCTACTGAGAAGATTCTAGAATTCTGATGCTTCACAATCCCCCAACCAGTCAGTGCAGGAGGAAGGGCACTGCCCATCTCTACATGGTAGGAAACTCAACCCTGAAGAGGGGCAAAATGGGTATTTTAATGGACAGAAAGGGAGGAGACCTCAACATATCCTGAGTCCTCTGCAACATTCCTCCCTTCTACGCCAAAACACCCCAGCTACACAGCAGAAAAAAGACCATCTAGGAGCAGGGAAGTGGAGATTGCCTGTAATCCTCCAAGTTTGGAGGCTTAGAGGCATCCTGATTGAACTGTACCATTAATGCATTCCCCCCTCCCCACATTAAGGTGTTAGAATACCTAACCTAAAGAAGCTCCAATGAAGATCTGTACCTGTAAGTAAAGGTTATCCCAGTGTTTCATTCAGGAGTGCACTAGATAACTGGTTTCCCTTCTAAGCCACCGTATTGCACCTGCTTCAACCCTCACCACTATTTTGAACTCAGCCCTGGCTGGTGAATCTTTAGTTTCTCCCACAAGTCCCAAGCCTGCTCACTCGTGCCTTAAAGACATAACTAACTACACTTTGTCCTGGTTTGGCCATGGCAAGCAAGCACTATTAATTGAAAACTGAACAAAAGTCCCCCTTCCCTACCCTTTGTAGCTGCCCCGGAGAAAGGAGGAGGCAGCATATGAACCTAACATTCATTCACATAATACCTGATAATTGTTTAACATCACACTCAAATACCATCACTGGGAAATTGAGGAAGGGGGGTGGGGGTGGCACTTGCTTGCAAATATGCCTACCTGTGTTCCTCCTACTGCATCCATGTACATGAATGTTATTATTCAGATTTTTTACCACAGCATCAATGGAGCAATCCTAAACATATTTACTTATTCACTAGAAAGGCTTGGGATTGAAGCCTAAGGCAATGAATAGCAACAGTGTGGGGGGGGGGGGGAACAGGACTTCTTTACACTTGGCAAAGAAAAAATAGGGTACTCCTTTGCTTTGCTCAAGTTATACGGTTATAGCTTTATGTTTGGCTAATTCCTACTGTTACAGGTAATAAAAAGTACTCCTTGTTCATGTAAGTGAATGCAAAAAGGACAAAAAGGGTCAGAGAGCTGTTCTGCTCAAAAAAATAAGTGTTAGTATATCAGTAGGTTTACTTAATACAGACAATACAAGCACATTCCTGGGTACACACAGAAACACATTCAGCAAAGAAAATGAAAAGGTTTACTGTGTTGATGGAGAGCCAGTGTGGAATGGTGGTCAGAATGCGGGACTGGGAACCCAGGATATCCCATGTTCTATTCCCTACCTGGTTATAAAGCTAACTGGGTGACTTTAAGCCTTTAAGACTCTCAGCCCAACCTATCTCACAGAGTTCTTGTGAGCATAAACTGGAATTAGACAAGCTGCTTTCGATTCCTTGCAAGAGGAAAAGGGTAGGATATACAGTAAATGCTAATAATAATAAATAATAAACATTGTGAAATTAAGAGCACAGACTTTCCCAGATGAAGGGAAAGAACAAGGGAGATGATATAAGTGATGGATAGATTCAGGTTTTCAAACTTCTCACTTTCTTCTCTTTCCAGCGTTATTCTGATCTTCTGTTTACCAACAGCTTGGCTTTCATCAGTTCTCCCTCTCTTCTCACTAACTTCGATGGAATGGGGGAGAATACATTTGGCATTAGTTACATGCCAGGTGGTATCACTTTCTGTCAACCATCTGGTCTCTGTTTGCTTTTGGTTAGGAGCACCAGTACCAAATGAAAAAGAAATTACTATTAATTTTCTAAAAACTAGCAAAAAGAAAATGCTAGCAGTAAAAAAAGGGAGAAAGAGAATAGCATCTGAGTGGGATGACAAGACAGAAGAAATTCCTTTTCAAAATAGTTGCAACATGGAAGTAGAAAAAAAATCCAGTTTGGCATTTAATAAAAAATTGTATTATAAATATTAAAATTGATTGGATTGATTTGTGTGAATTAAGTGAGAATGGATTGATTTGTGAAAAATTATTTATGGAACCAAGAAATCAGAAAAGAATCAAGTGCTCATTCTAAGCAAACTGGCTTTTATAACCAAGAAATCTAGAAGTATTTCATATTTCAAATGTCTATGCCAGTCACAAGAAAATCCTTGCTTGGAAACTTTATCATTATGTATAATACTTGTGTATAATGTGTCACTATACAGATTAATAACACAATTAACAGCCAGCTCCTGCCCTATGGAGCTAATATCTGGACCACAACACAATGAAACAAGATGGAGGCAAAGCAAACATGTGTTCAGTTCAATTACATAGAGCTCAATCAGGAAAGCAGAAGCTCTTTCAAACCAAGGGCCAGAGGGCATTGCATGGAAGCTCTCTGAAGTAGTTTTTCATGATGGATGGGCAAGAGGCCAAATGGAATGGAGCAACATTGCTTGAAATACCATCATATTTTAGCTTTAAGCTCTCACTTCCAGTAACTCAGCCTTAGGGGAGGCATTTCAAAGTGGGGATAACATTGTGCAAAAGGAAGGAAATGTTCCAATAATCAGTGCTTGAAGAATGGTGGTGAGGGCAGAGGGATGAGGAGAAAGCTTGTAAGGGCCAAATTAGCACACCAGGTCCCCATGTCTAAGGTTCTGTACCTCTCATCAAGATACTAGACCAAACTAGTTGCAATGGGAAATCTGTAATTTATTCATGTGCCTGTCCTGTCAATATACCTGAAGTAGGAGTGAGACCAGCCCTTTATACAATGAGGAG